GAATACGGAAGAAAAAAAGACAAATCGAAATGAGCAAGACGCATCCCTTCCTTTGGAAAATGGGACAAAAATTGGGAAAATCAAATTTATGAAATTATGATTATGTTTCCGATTATTATTATTACTATTCGGCTATTATACTTTTCCAAACCAGCTGGGGTTCGGGGAGCGTCAACCTTGGTGTGCCTAGAGGCAGGAAGGGTAGTTTAGTGTCAAAGCAAGCAAGCAAAGTAACACATTAGACAGCTTAGACAGCTTAGACGAGCGTTAAAATGAACCAGAGTGAAAAAAGTATGTCAATCTCAATTCTCGATATTTCGACTCTAGATGTTGACCTACCCATTCAAGCATTGGTATGGTTCAGAGGCCAAAAAGCGACAAACTATCTGACACCAGTGAAGTGAAATCAGAAAAGAAAATATGGGTCCTAAGTCAGACAAAGCTAGATCGGTCAAATTCTATGGGCATTCAGGATCATCTATTCATCTACTTGTCAATTTGTCATGCAAAATTCCATGCATGTTTCTGGAAGAATACGTATGTGATGGTAAGTTATTTTAACTTCGTGTTCTATGACCTCCCCGCCCCCCTTTCATGGCCGGAAAAAAAGCATGTTTCTATCCTTGAATAACCCTCTTAAATGCCCCCCCCCCCCCCCCCTGCTTTACCGATCATAGTGCCCATCGAGCCTATGTACATCATCTTATTTGCTATTCCGATGTTTATGGATAGGTACCATACATACATCGTACATATACTTACTTGTTGTACTGCAGCGGAAAAGTATAGCTGCGATGCAGCATAAGGACAATTGCGATGTAAATATGTGTGTGAGTGCACAAGGCAGACCGAATTCAGTTATTCCGAGCGAGCTCTTTTGGAAATTTCAGTTACAGTCCATTCAATGGATCCCCGACTCGGAGCTGAATCTATTTCCACGATCCGTTCGATGGGTGGTAGTATTATATGCCGTAGAGTAATATTGTCAAGAAAGAAAAAGCCATTGAATTACATATTGTTCCAGTGGTGATTCCCGAGCCCGAGGTCAAGCACCCAGCTCTTCATTTTGAGCTACATATCCGGTGCCCCCTGTGCCACTGTGCTATCCTAGAGGTAACACAATTTCTGGAGCCAAAGTTTTAAGGCTGTTTGGTTGTTGAAATGATTTTGGACTGAATTTTCCAGGTACCCATGACAGGTTGGAATGTTCGATGGTAGGCTGGCATGGATATGGGACCCTCGTTTCTGCCCTGAATATTGTCCAGGTTTATACAAGGTTGGGAACGAATCGCTGGGAACTGTGACCTTCTCTTGGAAAGAATTTCGAACAAAGTGGATTACGATGAACATTCTAAAGCTAGACAGGGCATACTCAGGATGTTTGGAAGACCGACTCAAGATGTTTCAGCAACGGTTGACGACCATATACATGGCATGGCATAGCATCAGGGTGATCACATGGCCTTTCTGAAAAGATCATTAAAGAACCTGGATTGGTCAAAATCGAGGTGGAATGGATGTGAAGCCACTGTAAAAGCATGGTGAGCTCATGGTAGAAACTCGGCTTAAAACATTTCACCTCATTGGATCATACCGACCGATTTCGCGGGTCGTCTCGCTCGAGAATCTTCAATCAGAATCGAACACAGCAGATATTTTGTTGTTCGTTGGGCCTTCATGTTGCTCTGACGCCGCATTGCGTTGACTACTGGGGGGGATTGTCACTATGTATGTACCTGTGCTTTACTTTTGGCCAGCAAACAAACATCAGACTCGTACATAATTGCATTCACAAACTTGAATCCAGCCAGTGATTGATCAAAGAATTGACGCCTCAGCTTGCATGATTGACTACTCCTGGAGGGGGGAGGTTTGGTGGTTGGAGTGTATCAATAATTCATTATTAATGCAATTCAAACGAGTCAATCCTCATACATACACGAAAGGAATCAATCAGTACGTCAACAAGATTTTTCGAAAGAATAGGATTTTCACTACCCATTTCCCACCTACTTGACTCTTGAGTCTAAAAAGGCTGGACGCTGGTTGCTGGCTGGCTTTGCGTGCACTGGGCAGACATCTATTGATGGCTATCGAATTCATCAAATAATTTCTTATGATTGATCTACAAATACGGGACAGCTTGGGTAACATAACTTCGGTGGAGCATTTCCATTAGTTTGACTCTCTTCCTAGACTCCAATTGGATATTTCCAAGCATGATAGACTGATTGATCTCCCCTTAGAACATTAGAACAATTCGAAGCGTGTTTGGCTTTAAAAGAGTTTCCATTTGGAACCTTGGAAAGTGGGCTAATCTAGAGAAAGAACCAGCCTAGAAGGATTTCATGGTCAAAGTGGTTACGCTCTCCCATGACAAGGTAGTTCAAATTATTTTCAGGGGTAATTAAAGCCAATCAAAACATAACAAAAAGGAAGTGAATCCGGATTACCAGGACCACTTCAGATCATTATTTCCCTTTTCCACCAATTAAGCCAGCTGGCATTACCTAGTATGAAGTAGATGATTATTCATTCATTGTGATTATCTACCTACCTATTGACTACCATCTACTGATATCGAAGCTATATACGTAGTACAGTAGCAGTTTAGAAGGTTAAAGCTCGGAAAGCTATTGCAAACCACCACGGTGCGGCCCGGAGTAAAGTCTAAAACTGTTCCTAAATTTCATTAGTACTTAGAAGTGGCAGACTAGATGCTGCAAAAGCCGTCGTGATGAAACTTCCAAGTTTCCTTTTCGTACTTATAAGCAACGACTATTAATCTATCCGTCCTTTCTAACGATGCCAGCGAAAAAACGACTGGGTACTAGCATGGCAATAGCATGGTTCTATGCAACCTTCCCGGTGGCCCGACCGACCAAGAAATGATCGAAAGTCTTTCCGTTTTATTGAGAATCCCTGTTGTAACCTTACTGAAGGACCGCGACCGACCGCCGGCTACCAATTCTACTTTGCTTCTTTCGACTCTAGTTTCTTTACCGTTCCGGCTCCATACACAACAAAGCCGGTTGCTAGACCAAACAACGATTTGGCGATTCAGTGGATAGATACCCTTGATCCCAACCCAGCACTGCAACAGTTCGTTGTTGGTTCGTACCTGACATTAGCGTACACTCTTCTGCTGCGCGATGATCGTAGTTGACAGCGGTTAGGGGCAGATTGCAGTAGCTTCTAAGTTATCACTGGGTTATAGCTGTATCTGTATCTATATCTGCTCGACGGAGAATTATTATTATCTTAAACACGACATAGGTCAAGAATAAGACGATATCGACAATCATATCATGATCATCATGATAAAGCGTACTGCAATTTAACATGGAATTACTACCCGAGTAAGGAAGGATTCAAGATGACGATATATTCGATACGATCCAGCTATCATGTGTGCTCCAGCTTCAAATAGAGTAAGTGGTAAGGTTAAATACGTGCGCATGCTAAAGCATCAGTCTAGATAAGACGCTTTAATATCAGCGCAGCGTATCTTCAATCGGTGCGGGCAAAAAAATAATGTATGTACGCTGTGCAGCGGACGATGACACTACCATAAGCTTCAGAAAACGTTCAGCCCCAATCATCCTGCATGATGAGGGAATAGAATACAATGCGTATGGTCAATTGACACAAATAGATACAAATTAGGGAGGTGAGTCCAACTTTTTGGTCAGCTCACGTTTTCACCTAGTAACCTTATCCGGGGAACAGTCCCCGATTTTGCCAAAGCTGTAAAATTGAATCATACATAATATATACCTAGCATCCTAGATAGATGTGGACCGCGAATGGTATCGGTCTCTTATTTGCGCGCGGCTCTGCTTCATATTAGGGATCTAGTTATGTCTCGGGGTTCAAGCAAACCCTGATCAATCACCGGAGAAGCTTTCGAATGCTTCCAAATGAATTCTAGCCATGTTTTGGGATCCGCTAGCAATCATAAATGTCTTAAGGAATAATATGTCCACCCAATCTTGGGTCAAGACTGATGAACCAACTCAAAACTCAAAACTCAAGAAAGAATAATGTCCACATTATCTTTGACTTACCATGGATAAGATGTTCTTTCATTTAATCTAGTAAAGCTTAAATTTAATCGTCATGTTGTTGCTAATTATCGCCTCCATCTTTCAGCTGGCCTCGCGTCTTCCGTACGGAGCACCTCGCCAATTTCATCGATTCTACCGATTCTTACAATTAACATATTGACTGACTACCGACTACCGAATACTAACTATTGACCTTGCAACACAGCACCATTGATTTATCACACATACAACAAATGATAGAATTGTATGCCTCGCTTTGGCTCTCCGCAAGATGAAGTAATCGGTCCTATCTCATCTATTTTATCAAACAGCCATCAATGATCACTTGTGCCTGACACTGGCATTGACACTGACACTGCCTGTGCCTCTTCTTTCAATGTCCATCAAAGCACGAATTAGGCAGCTCAATTTTGAAGGATAGCGATCCTCGTTGTATACGACGGCGTAAGCTTTATCCAAGTGAGTTATATCTTACTTTCGTAGTCATTTGTCATTCTACATTCCCAAGAATCTCACCATTCTTACACACACCCTTCATATTATGTCTATTAACTTAAGTTTGAATAACAATCAATCCAAGAATTCTATTTCGAACGGCCGAAAAACTATCCAGGTATTCTAATGAGACCATAGCACACCGGCCGATTATGTAACCATCCTCCCGTCAGCCCCCTAAAGGACTAACCTTGTCCCCACGCTTTTCATGATCTCATGTCCCCTACCTCTCGCGTGGAAGTGTGGATGTCACTTAACTCTACCGGAAGCAGCCATGCTTCCCCTTGACTTCCACGACTCTCAAAACTCCCCACCTGTATCCCACGAAGGCATCAATGAAAAGGATCCACACATATTACCTTTAGCATTGCATGAATAAGAAGCGCGAACGCGCGACCGTTTGCACTACCCGCTCGCCGTTGCTTGCAAACCACCAGGATGCAGTGGAACCGATGGAACACTGAGAAACATTCAAGAGAACCAGGAAGTTCCCAACTTCCTGATTCATCTGCAGTATCGCCCCACAAATTGAATAAAAGAAGTTTGAAAAGTGTTCTATCGGAGCCCGGGTCCCTGCATACTGCAGCCCCTTCATCTCAAACATCTTGGACACCCATGCGTGGTTACTCAGGAGTAGCATATTCTGTACCATGTTACTCTAATGCCCTGTAAATGCCCCGTCGGCAACGCTTCCTTGCCTTCCATATGTGTTCTACCGAGGTTTCTAGAAGGAATGGATGGTTCTAATTAATATTCCAATCGGATACCATACGAAATCTTACCTTATATAATATTGTACGACACGTTGGGGAACAAGTTCATCTCATGCACCAAGGTTCCCGACCTGTTGGGCGACATGCAATGCAGCAGCAATCTCCGCTAAGCCGTACCGTTCAGACGGGATCTCTCCCCGTTAGGATCCAGTTATTTTACTTGGTCACAGAGTTCTCGATTTCGATCTTAATTCAATAGGAAGAACATTTGGGAATTCTAATACATTGCCAACTTTGAGGATCATAAAAAGTTTTCTTTTCATTTCATATCACGATTCAATATGAGATGTCGATTGTAGACCAACCCCTCTGATTGAGGCGTGAAAATTTTCTCTCATGACGAGGATCCGAGCCAGCATCGTATACGGAGAATATGATGAGCCAGCCTGAGCCTCATCGGCGTTCGTATCAATTTACTTATCAACTAATGATAGGGATCGGTATATCTGATGTGGATATGGATGGCAATGAACTCATAATTCCCCTAGTACGGCTCTACCTAATCGAGAAATACTTTCCCCGAGACTTTGGTAGCTGGTCTCATTTTTCTTGTTGGGTACTAGGTAGTCATGGAGCCTTCCGAGACTTATCAATGCGTATGATAGATGGGCCCTCAAAGCAAGATACATGAGTAGCTGCAGGATGAACTATGATCTCCTGTCTCTCCTTCTGTCTTTCCTTCTGTCGCTCACACGTGGGAATGACTAAGATTTTCGGGAGACAGGGACTTTTGAGGGCTGGGACTTGAGTAAGTCTAAGACAAACTATATCCAAAATGGTACAGGTGATTCCACCCCTTTCTTTTTACACATTCCAATCTTCTGGATCATCTCATGGATTGATGTTGAGTGCCGTAATCTCGGGTTTTAGCTCAACCCCTAATAATCCAGGCTTACATATGATCTTCACGTGTTTTGGCCATCAAGGAAGAACACGTCGATCTTCATTTCATAATCCCAAAATTATGTCAAGTAACAAGGCAATCTTTCTAGATGGTACTGTGCCTTGCTTAGGCCTCGAGACCCTTCCTCGAGACCCTTACAATATTGCATCACTGAGTTCCGGAAATCACTTCCGAGTTTCCATTGCGATTTGGGAAAAAAAACTTTAGACTCCCAATTTCATTTCAATTTATTTCGCTCATGGCCGAAAGTATATTTGCTGCCGTAGTCCACATCCTTAAAAGAGTTATCTATTCCTGGAAAGGATACTAGATTTACGAATAAGGGTTGAGATGAACCCACGTTCCTCGCCCGAAAGGTACGTGAGTTGTTCTCCGACCATCGTTTCATCCAAAACTACACTGAAGTTATCCGAGTTTCTAAACACAGTAGCAAGTGCCGCAAATGTATTTCACGAATTGCAATATAGTACAGGTATGTTAGTCACTTACGCTTTGCTATGGTCTATATAAAGACAGACGTTTTCATCTCAACTTGAAGTTCGTGCAGCGCATGCATGTTTCGATTTGGAGGCAAATGCTGCGGAAATACGAGAAACGGGAAAGACAGGCGGAATCTGGGATTATGCTTGTTTGAAAGGCAGGATGCAAATAGTCTTTCCTGGTGGGAATATTGACTTATGAGGAAATTTGCATAGAAAGTTCTAATCTTTCTGGTCTGAATCAGTATCAGATATCTTATTCTCTTCCTATACCTCATTTGATCTTGTGTAATACTCTTTATCTGATTCTTTTTCTTAGGAGGCTTAGGTTGAGGCTAGATTTCAACAGAATCTCATCTAGATTACCCTCCTTTGCAAAAACGGTGGAAATGCGATTTCAAATGACGTGTCGATTCTAGTAGACCACTAATGGGTGTGTGGACGGACGGGACAGTCCTCAACTTTCGAATTCTTCAACAAATTCATTCTTCAACTGTTTGATATTGGAATTTATGTATTCATTGTTCAATCTCTGATAAATTATTATGACCGTTCTTGAGATAACCCAATGGATATTTCAAAAGATATTCATGAGTCCAATTTTGCAGTGTCCCATTAGTCTGTACACTCACAGGTGGACACATTTACATTTTGGCTTTTTGGAATATCTGTTTGAGTTCATTGCTGATTAAGTTAGCTTCCAAAAGTCGAATTCAATTAAATTGAGTATCAATTTTCTGGTCCGAAGACCCCGAGTCGATGTGTGTTTTTCGAGGGCCATTTATAGTTGAACCTCTATGTAACAACTTCCTCTCGTTTCTCTTTTTCATGGAAAGTGCATGATTGGAGTACTCGTGTCTCTATAAATTCTAATCCCATAAAGTTAGAATCCAGAAGAAATGTCACTTGATTAGTTTTCAACACATACATCTTACCAATCTATTCATGGGATCTAACGTACTTTCCAATAAAATTAAACCAACTCGTTGTCTTGCGAATCTCACACTTTCTAGCCCTATGTCTCCTCATACCTTTACCTTTTCTCAAATCATACGTTGGCACGCGGAGAGACGAATGTCCCCCCGCGTATTGAAACCTCATCGTTGTGAGGCTGAACTCGGGTCCCATGTGTTCCTTCTTACCCCGACATACAACAGTTCTGACAACCGCATGACAGGTTTCAATAGACGTACTATATTCTATTCTTGTCATTTCTAGGCTCACACAGGTACCCGTGGTTAGACTTTGCTTGACGTACATCTATCTGTAGGATTGAAGCAGCAAGTGTAATGAACGGGTAGCAAGCATACCTCTGATGTCTTGCTCCACCTCCAATAGATCAATCATTCTACCAAGTCATACGTGAGTCTTCTTGCGCTGATAATTGTGTCTAACTATGATTTATAAGAGACCTCCCTATGAGTGTCGAGCAAACCCACTCCATGAACTTCCCCTTGCTCAATTCCCCAACATTCATACCCTTCCCCCGGAAAATTGTCCCCCTGCTTCCCCTTCCCATAATATCTCTACCAATCACAACATCTCACACATCTTTGTTGCATATCTACAGCCTCTCCGAAACCGGCCTGGGATTTGTATTTATAGTCTCAAGGATCTGTTGTTTACTAATGCAATCGTCACTCCTCGGGTTAGTAATTTGAGATCTTACATTCTACTGTGTTCTTCTACAGCAGTGTGGTTACTCTTCCTGTTATCTCTCCCTGTGTTTATATTGTTTTGGATATGGGGAGGGGACTTTAATCAAGACTTATATCAATCAATCGCTCTAGGAGAACTTGGATGATTGGATGATTGGATGGGTATGGAAATGTACATATCAAACTATGTTCAGGATTTTTGAATTGAGTTGTGTATGTAAGATCTTACTCGGTGGAAAGTTTTTTGAGGCATCGCTAGAGAAAACCTACATGATACTCGCTTGTTGTTCGTGTACGCAAGATTATCTATCGTAGGCTGGTGCCGTGAAAAACTTGCGGAGAGGTTTACGTGCAATAAGTGCACGTTTGGATAGCTGGTAGAGGGCGTGGGCGTGGTGACGGATTTTGTGGGGGAGAATGAGATTCTCCAGTCAGTCTGCAAGAATTATAAGTATTACGAAAGGATCTCACTCTACGGAATTGTGTAGATTAAATGGAGCCGTGCTGTTTGAGTGTCTTATTGTGTATCTCGAATTGTTGAACAGATCTTTTGCGCTTCGAAGTTTGAAAGCGATGTAATTGATTGTGTGAGAGTTCTCGCATCCTCTCATCGTCATAAGATTAAATGATGGGAGGTTAGGTACTGTAATAAAAACATAAAATTAGAAAGGTGGAAAAAGGGGATTCATCTAATCAAGTCTCCGGTCCTGAAGTTATCAATAAGAAATATAATCTGCAATCGAGAGAAATCATGTATATTAGCTGTCTAGTTGGCTAGTTGATTAGTTGATTAGTTAGTTATGCATCACTTCGTCTACGTATAGGATCTGTTTTCGTAGAAAAGTTTAATGAGGATATTGGGTTTTGGTATACTTACTAGGTAGGTACTTTGAAGTACGTATTTTTCTGGGTATTAAGTGACTTCTGCTGTGTGCTTGTGCTTGTATTTGTGTTAACGTTTGTCTTTGTTTGTTGAGTTATATTTGATAGGAGAAGTTTTTGTATATCACCATGGGAAAGAGAACATTGCGATGATATAATGTGACGTGAGCTTGAGAAAGGGAGGAATGGGTTGAGAAGGAAATATGATCACGGCTTAGAAACTAGGAGATAGGGGATGATAGAGATGAGTTATTCAGGGGGGAGAGAGAGTGTGTGAGAAAGGTGGTCTGGTATAGATAGAATAGAATATAGGAGGTGAGATGGAATAATATTAACACCTATATACATGTAATCAGCCGCATCTTTCCTTCAAATTTCTCCTTCTTCTTGTATCAACCACTTCTTGAGACTCGAGACTCGAATAGAGAATACAAGAATGCTTCATATCTTTCCATTCCCCCTTTCTCCCATCCTCATTCCCTACCTCTCATCTGTACTCTCACTACTCCCCCTCAACTCTCCTATTTTCCACGCTCTAATCTTAATCTTTCAACCTCTCGTTATGACCACAAGAATTCTTTATTTCACTCAATTCCAATCAATTTTATTTTCATAACATAACATAAGACAACATAACATACAATATACAATATACAATATACAATATACAACATTAAACCCAAGAATTCTTTCTACACATACACATCACAACAAAATCAGCCACCTACAACAAACACTCTCCTTCATCCCCTTACTCTGCCTCTCCCAAACTTAACTTCTAAGTGAATTCTACATTCCAAATCTCACTAGCTGCAATTCCAACCCAATTCCAGTCCCGATCTTTTCACATTAATTATCATAGACATAAGGGAAAGAAAGAAAGAAAGATACATACATACATACATACATACCAAAAAAGACCTCATAGTAAATACCCCAATCCTAAATCCAACCACATGTAACACGTAAATCAGTT